AAAGTGCACTTGCTGAGACTACATTTTAAAATGAGATATATAATTGGTTATTTTTGTTTATTTCCTTTCTTGTTTCCTCAAAGATGATAGATAGATTTCAGGTAGATGGTAGATAAAAACAGTAGATTATAGATAGGAAAATGATAGATATGTTAGATAATAGATGACATACAATAAACAGATGATAGATACGTAAACAGATTGTAGATAGACGGTAGATAGATACATATATGCTATTTTTTTAAATAAAGCTCTTTCCATTGGCAAAGATAGTGCTCTATGAAGATATCTCTTTTTATTAAATGAGTTTGGAGCAATTTTCTTAATGATCTGGCACTGTGAAACCCAGAGACAAACACAACACTTTATCGAAAACACCAGTGTTACACTGTTTTCTAAATATAGAATACTGTTTTTACTAGGAATTTGGCAAGCACTTTCAAAACGTCTTTTTCTGTTTTCATTCTCTGAGAATTTCCTAACAACCAATATGTATAGAAATTTCAATATGCAGCTGGAATCCTTCAATATTTATTAGGAAATTTACGATCTCATCATCACTGTTCATTCTTATTAAGTTCTAAGGAAGTTTTAAGTTCATTTGTGATCTAGCCCAGTGGTGAAGTTTTCAGCCTGCTTCCTTCCCAGGGTTCCAAGGACCTAACATATGATTGTAAGCATTCCGCATGTGTCTGGCCATTGACCGAGCATACTCTAAGACAAATGATGAAAAGACATTAATTCTCACCACTGGATCTGTTCAGACCATATCAAAAGCTCACAGGGTTGTGTTTCCTGTTGCCTCAAAGCCCACCCCCACCCCATAACCTGTTTGAGAGCCATTATCTGTTTAATTTTACACTCAAGTTTTTCCTACTTCACCATACACAGAAAATTATTTTCACATTTTCATACTATATTCACATATCAGCAATGACACAATTCCATGGGGTATCGGGATCTGGGCATGGAGAGGGGAGCCCAGCTAGATCCTGGCATTAAATTAGACATAAGTCATATAGTAGATACGACTTAATGTCAATCAGACTTTTAACACTGGAAGGGGCCTTGGTGCTAGCCAAGGGTTTTACATGTAGGGAAATCAAGGTCCAGAGATGCTATGGGATAGGGCTCAGTGTCCTGCAGCTCACATAGGAAAAGGCTTTGAGGCCTGAGGCTCTGGAGGCAGGGGTACTTCAAAAGCAAGGGTGTATTTGTCACTATTGTTCCCCATCTACTGCTATTTTTACATTACCATATTATGCCCCAGACACTGAAAGTCATCCCTACTTGTGTTGTGCTTTTTATCGTAAGGAAACTGTGATACACAACTAGCCGTATTTCACTTAATGTGTGGGCTTCCTCATAGTGCCAAGCTGAGTCGTTTTGCCATTGTGACTCCAGTGTGGGAAGTAGTGCCGAAAATGGAGCCCAGGAAGTTTGGCAGAGTGGGCTCTTTCAGCCAATGAAGCCAGGGAACAAAGAGGAATTATTCTGATCAATTGGCCAAAGAGGGCAGAAGACGGAAGTCTCAAAATTCATCAAAGTCTGGCCAGAGGGTGCATGCACGGGTTTTAAGGCTGACATGGGTGAACTCTTTCTCCAAGCCCTGGAATGATTATATTGTAGTACTTAGTTTTCTTTTCTGCTGTGGAACTGTTGACTGCAAAGGTATTTCATGGGTTTAGCTCTGTTTCACTAGTGTCATGTCTAATGCTTGCAATATTAAATGTCTCTAATAAGCACTTAGATAAAAGTGGTGTTCATTAAAAACCAAGCTAGTGAATCACGAGTTTAGTGAAGTAGCCAGTAAATGCAGAAAAGACTACTCGCTTTGAAGCTGATACATTTCGAGTAAGTCTTGAGTTTTCCAAATGTTGCGATTTTAAATTTGTGATTTTGTACAACTAATTGTTTAAACCAAAATCTCCTGGTTAAACTTATGCCAAAAAAATGGGTTGTTAGACTGGCGATGTCGCTCAGAGGTGGACAGAGTGCCTGCCTGCGGTGTGCAATGTTGGATTCCATAGCAAGTACCAAGCAGATGGCGCAGCTCCTTCAAGCCATCCTCTTCAACCACGCCTGGCAGTTGCTTTGTTTTCTGATGAATATGCCCAGGAGTATGAGTAGCACCACACTTACAGCCCAGCTTTAAGTCCGCTGCAATTGGGGAAGAAACTTACTTGAAGGTTTAAAAACAAAACAAGACTCTTGGTTGAAAATGTTCAAGCATGCAAAAGTAGAAAGTGTATCTAGCTTCTCTTTGGCATCACCGGCATTTCCAGAGGGGTCTGACTTAGGAGAGAAGACTGACCCTGGAGAGGGATGGGAGGGAAGGAAGAGGGAGAAGGGGAGAGGAAGAAAGCATAGGAGCCCAGCAACAGCGTTCATCTCTCTCTGCTTCCTGACGGCAGGTGAAATGCGACCAGGTGAAATGTGACCAGATGCCCCAAGCTCCTGTGGCCAGGCCTTCCTCCACATAAAAGTCTTTCTTCTTTAAGTTGCTTCTGTCAGGGATTTTGTCACAGCGATGAGAAGAGTAGCCAATGCCAGGGCATGTACGAAGCTGGGCCATATCTGTGTAACTTCTCAGTGGTCTAGAAGTGTAACATAGGAGGGGCAGGAAAACCACATTGCCACGGGCACACTTAGGAGGAAATGTGATACCAAACCAGCGCAGAGAGAACATTTTTGTGACTTATTCAGAGCTACCTTCTACAGAGATATTAGCACCACCACTGGAAATCCAAGCACTTTCCTGATGAACATTAAATTAAGGGTTATTCGGCAAAGCAGCTGCTGACTGACCACTTGGGTCAGTCCAGGGTCAGTGAACGTTAGGCCTTCTTTAGTTCCCATTCCCTCTCAAGCATTATTCCAGCCATCTTAAATATATATATATATATGTATATATATATATTAGAATAATGAATCTTTGACTTGATGGGGCCTTTTTCCTTGCACTGTACTCAAGATTTGTGGCAGTAAAACTGTTTCTTCTGTTCATAATTAAATTGTTAGAAAATTCTGCTTTACTAGCTCCTTAAAAAACAACAACCATGGTTTATCCTTAGTATTATCTAATGGCCAGCCATATTTTATTTGCTTGCTGTATTCAGATTATTTGTAAGCATAGTAAAATTTGGTGAGCACAACTTTCTTCCAGGCAGAAGACTGGATGACCCTGAATGACAATCTCTGGACAGACCTAGTAGTGCATGTTAGTAATTCTAGCATGCAGGAAGCTGAGGCAGGAGGATTATAAGGTTAGGACCAGTCTGTGTCACATAACAAGAACCTGGGTGAAAGTAGGTAGGTAGATAGATAGACAGACGGGTGGATGGACAGACAGACAGATAGGTAGGAGGGAGAGAGGACAGGGAGAGTGGAGAAAGGAGAAAGGAAGGAAGAGAGGGAGAAAGAAACGCAAGGAAGGGTTGTTAGGGGAGAACAGAATGACGGGCAAGCCTTGACTCTTTCAAAAACAACTCGAGATATTCTTACACAGCTCGTAGTCTTTATTTTAGTGTTATCGTGTGTGTGTGTGTGTGTGTGTGTGTGTGTGTGTGTGTGTGTGTGTGATGTGTATGTGAGGGGTGCACTTGCCGCAGTGTGTGTGTGTGTAAGTCAGAAGACAGCTGTGCGAAGCTGTTTTACCCTCCACCTTTATGTGAGTTCTGAGGGCCAGGTCTCTAGGCTTGAGGAGCAAGCCACCTCAGCAGTCCCTTGGGAAAGTCACGCTCATGATGATCAAAGCAGACGCTCAATTCATGGTTCTGAACTCTGCTCCTGGATGCTTTCCTTCATTTGGACACTATTGACCCTGTCACTAGTCCGTCCCTTGGTCCTTATTGGTTTTGTGTATGTGACTTCTAAATAAGAATCTTCTAAGCTGAAAAAACTCCGAAAACCACTGATTTAACTCTGTCACACACTTCCCACTTGCACAGTTTACTAATAATATTGGCATTTTTGTGTGGGATAAAAATGCACAGGCCGCTGGAGAGACAGTTCAGTGGCTAAGAGCACTTACTGCTCTTACAGAGGACCCACGATTGGTTGCAGGTAAGGTAGCTCACAATTTCCAATAACTCCAGCTCCAGATCTAATACCCTCTTCTGGCTTCCAAGGGAAACTACTCTGTGTGGGAGTGCACGCTCACCCCACATGGACACACTCAAACACACATAATGAAAAAATAGAGACTGCATAGGAAATAGCTGTGTGAACTGTTGTCACTGTTCAGCCAGGAATGCTAATATCAATCACTGTATAACAAACTTTGGCAAATATCTCTATGGCAAGCGCTACGCTGCAGTTGTTAACGTGTGCTTCACAATGTGAAGATCCGTGTTAAGAGTCCCAATATTCTCCTCCTTCCCCAAAACATGTCTGGCTTTGTTGGGCCGATTTCTGTGAGTGTGAGGTCAGCCTAATCTACATGTTGAAAAATAAATCCTTCTGAAATCCAGGTGCAGTGGGACTGCATCTGTAACCTCGGTGGTGGGGGATGGGGTGGTGGGGAATGGACTCATGGAGTTCATTGGCCATCCAGCCTAGCCGATCTGAAGCTCCATATTCCCTAAGAGACCCTAATTGAAACAAAACAAGTATGTATGTATATATATATATATGTATATATATATATATGTAAAGAGAGAGAGAGAGAGAGGGATTGATACTCAGTGTTGACCTCTGGCTTCCACCCACACTATATATACTTGTACATCTACATATGTGTGCACACATACATACACTACAGAGAGAGGGGAGAGGGAGGGAGGGAGAGAGAGAGAGAGGAAGGAAGGGAGAATTGCCACAACAATCAACCTACAACCTTGGCAGCTTGCTTCTCATACTGGAAAAAGTATGTTAGCTTTTAAATGGTTTTGGTTGATAACTTAGATTTGAAAGCTCTATTTAATGAGGGGTATCACAAAAATGGTTTTGAATGTTCATTTATTAATGCATTGTTAATGTACAATTGGATTTTAGGTTTCTATGAATATATCTCCTCAAAATTTTCTTTTAAGTAATTTACCTTTCTTTAAGATCATTTTAAAAATGGCAATTTGGAGTTTTTGAGAAATTTCAGATTTGATTATTAGGTTTATAATAAACTAAGATATTATTATAACTTTAGTTGGAGACAAAGTTTTCATGTCTATGACTTGGGGACTTGCTTTTCCTATCCATCACTCATTTGGTGAGTTGCCAAAACATATGAAATGGCCTATCTGGTGTGTGGGGGTCACAGGAAGTGGCCTCTGGGTATGCTGAGGTATTTATAGTCTGGAACTCACAGTCAAAGGAGAAGTCCACATGTCGCCGTTAAGCTGACTTGTGAGTGGAGGTAATTCCTTCCATAATTAAAACTGCAGTTGAACTTCTATTTCTTTTCCTGGGGCTTCCATCCTTTGATAAAAAATATTTGGCAAAAATGCCTCTATGATGTTTACACACAAATTTTAAAATAATTATTCTGCAGCACCATCCAGCATGACAGCTCTTTGTAGGACATCCGCACTGTAGTAGGTATCATCAGTCATCTTGTTGCTGTGTCGAAGGCTCCTAAGGAAACAGATTAAGACAGGAAGAACTTATTTTGCTTCAGTTTACATCCAAGGTCAGAGGGATCCATTGCTTGGGACCAGAGGCAGGGCAGAACACCATGTGGTAGGAGCATAAGTGGGTGGAGGCTGCTTATTTCATAGCAGCCAGGAAGTAGGGAGAGGGAATGAACACCAGGAGGGCTGTGTTCTACCCAAGGGCATGCCTCTGGTGGCTTCATTCCCCTAACTAGGCCCTACTTACTAGTTTCAGCCTCCTCCCAATAATAACATCAAATTATAAATATGTCAATGGGCTCATCCATTGCTTAGTTCAGAGCCTTCAAAATTCAAATATTTCTCAATGATTTGCCGGACATGAGCCTTGTGGGAACACTTCAAATCTAGACCACAACATGGAAGTTGTGTGCAGATTATAAGCAAATACTACAATACTTTCCATGAAAGACTTGAGCACCTCTGGATTTTATCCATAGGGAGATTCGTGGGCCAGCTCTCCCTGGAGAGCAAGGGATAATTTATATATTGTAAGTGGAAGCATGCTCCCATTTCCACTTAATTTTCATTTCTCTTCTTTTTTTTGATTCCTTGGGAATTTCACATCATGCGCTCCAATACCACTCATTTCCCAGTCCCTCCATATCCACCCTTCACCCCTTGCAGTGGTCCCCACAACAAAAAAATTAATTAAAAAAACACTCTACTCCTCCATCTTTCCTGCCTCTCCATCATCTCTTCATTCGTTTTAGTGGAATTGGGATCTGTGGTGTGTCAGCAGCATACCCTTTTGTCCAAACAGCTTTACTTGCAAATGTTCATTGCAATGAGTTGTTGGTCTGTTTCAAGGCCTCTGGCTTCTAGTACACCATCAATACAGGACCCTCACTGTAACTTCCTTCAGATATCCTGCTGTTGCCCCAACTCATGGAGATCCTCCGGCTATGGTTCCACATGACTGATCTCTTCACTGGTTCTAGCAGGTCATAGATGGGGTAGATATTGGGGTGGGCCAACACAAAGCACTATATGTGGGCCTGGGTGGCAGCTGAGTTAGTCAGGCAGGACCTCACCCTACAGGTAACAGCTGGATTCAGCCCCCTAGACCATTGGGTTCAGCTCTCCAGTGCCCATGACGAGGGATGAGACCAGCTCTCCTGTGGCAGCAGCCAGCAAGGGGCAGGACCAGCTATCCCAGGGCCACCACGGCCCTCGGATTTCAATACAAATGGTTCACATGGCCCCCAGTGATAACATGAGCCATGGACATCAGCACATACCCCGATGCAGCAAGACTGTAGACTAGTCATGGTCCTCAGCAGTAGCCTGGGCCCAGACATCGCCATGGCCCCAGGTGGCAGCACAGGCCACTCAGATCAGGAAGTCCCTGGCAACAGCTTGACACTCAGGCACCTACGTATCTCCAGGTGGTGTCCCAGACCATGGTCACCCACATGGACTTTGGTGGCAACAGGACCCATGAACATAAACACAGTCCCTGGCTGAAGTGGGGCCACAGACTCACACATGGCCCTGAGCAGCAACCCTGGCCGGGATATCACCGTGGCCGCATGAACCACTCAGATCAGCTCCTTCTTTGCCCACTTCTGCCTCTTCAGTTCTGACTCTCCACAGCACACGGACCACTCTGCTTCTCTTTCTCCAATTTCTCCACCACGTATTTGCTCATCATAATGGCTCCTACCCCAGCTGAGTGGTGCTGGGCAGGCCTGTGGGTGTCTTCAGCCAGCCCAGGCCCAGCGGCACCAGGCAGGCCTTTTTGTTCCCTTTCTTAAAAATACATATTTTGCATTCATTCTGTGAGAATTTTATACAAAAACATGTATAACTCCTGCCATAATTACCCCACCACATCTGCTTTCCAACTTCCTGTTGAACACATAAAAGAGCTCAGCTGCTGTGGTTTTGTGCCCAAGGTCTGCACAAGATCAAGCCAGTCAAAATCCCAACATGAATGGAGGAGGTGGTCATGAAGCCACACCACTCGCTGACACGTTACCTGCAGTGGACACCTGCTGGGGAAGTGAGAGTCAGTTTCCTTCTGGGACATGGCCCCTGGAAAGTTGCCCTTTCCTCTGTGGATGGCCCTGCATGCATGCACTTACTAGCACCACTAACATGTGACTCTGGGTTAAAAAGAACAGTTAATTTTCTCTTTCCAATCATACAGGATTCTCTTGCATGCTTGGAACTTAAAACACTGTATCACTTTCATCACCTAGTCATCATAACGTCCTCCATTCTGGTTCTTGAGTTTTGAAGGCCAATCACAAATCTGTGTTCTTTCCCACCACAAAGTCTACACTAACACCCCCTCGGCATTGTCTTTGGTGAAACTGCAGAGCTGGCGAGTCATTTCTCTGCCTTTCTTCTACCTTCCTCCCCCATCTTTCTCCCATTCCACAGAACTCACTACCTGTTCTTGTAAGACACAAGACATTTAAGGGATACTTTGTCCTTCTAGACCAGCGGTTCTCAACCTGTGAGCAGAACTCCATCTGGGGATCAAAAGACCCTTTCACAGGGGCCATATATCAGACATTTACACTATGATTCATAACAGTGGCAAAATTACAGTTACAAAGTAGCAGTGAAAATATTGTTGTGGCTGGGGGTCACCACAGCATGTGGAACTGCATTAAAGGGTCAGAACGTTAGAAAGGTTGAGAATCTTCTAGACTATCAACCTCTCAGGCTTCCATAACCAAGTTAACCTTTGCTTTTCCTTTTCTTGTGAGTCAAACCGTCAATTCTCCATACTGTTGGGCTCTGCTGGGTGCTGATACTTGGTCCTCATTATCTCTAGTTTATTCTTTATCTCATTCTCCAGTATCCATTTCTCAGCTTCTTCTTTCTAACTCTCACCACACATACTGGGTGCCTCCGTCTCCGCCTCCATGGATGCAGTAGAGGTGGGCAGCTGCTTGTATATCTGTTAGTGCTGTCCCTTGGGTGCTAAGCCCAGTGAACACAAGTGAACAAGGCTGAGAAGTATGCAAGATCCTCATCTTGGGTGACACATCTGAAGGGATTGTTCACACTTAACCCAGTTCCTCCAGACAAATCACCATCTTTATACCTTCCCCCTATGGATGGCAACACTTTTTTTTCGTAGATCACTTGCTTGCTTGCTTGAATTTCATTAGACCTGAATTCCCACTATGGTATTCCATTTCCTGGGTGTATGACTTTGGAAAATTAATTGACTCTTCTAAATGTGTTGTTACCATTGGTCGTGCTGAGGATCGAACCCAGGCTTCACACATGCTAGGTAAGCACTCTGCCACTGACCCACACCCTTTACCTCTATATTGCTGTTATTTATTTTTTTATTGTGTGTGTATACGCAAGTGCATGTTGGCAGTTTTGGAGTACAAAACACACACATATATGTTATGGTATGGAGGTGGAGACTGAAAACCTGGGATGTCAGTCTTGGCCTTCTGCCACATATGGGACAAAGTCTCTTGTTTTTCACTGCAGTGTATCATAGGCTATGTGACCCATGAGCTTCTGGGAATTAGCCTGTTTCCACTTCTCATCTCACCATGGAATGCTGGGATTATAGGTGCACCCTACTGTGTCTAGCTTTCTGTGGGTTCTGGGCATCTGAATACAGGTCCTCCTTCTTGCTTGCATAACAAGCAAAATTACCCGCTAAGCCACTTTGAGATCCACCGCCCTCCCTTTTAAATCAGGACCACACTAGCTCTTAACCATGTGGTGCTATCATGTGGACTAGATGAGAATTTCTGTAGAAGTTTTTGAGAAGAACGACCATCAAAACTTTACTACGTAATTCATAATTCCGAGGCTGGGCTGCTGCTGCTGTCCCTCAGCGGTGTTTCAGAGACCATCCTAATACTCTGCTCGTGCAGATTTCCATTTTCATTGTGTGTTCCCCAAACATGCACTTTTCTATATTGACAGCTGGAATTTAATTAAAGTAGGCCTCTGTGCTTTATAATAATCAAATTATAGACAAAGGCATGGTGGCTGCAGCCAGAATCTGTGCCCACTCTCTGCCACTTGAGCCTTTGTGCCCCATGTCCTTCTTGTCACCCCATGTTCTCTCTCTGCAGTGATAACCACAGGCATGGCAGCAGCAAAAGCCGCCTCTTTCTAAGAATGTGCTCCGTGTCCACAGGCTTATTTCCATTGTTCAATTTAATCGCCACAGTGGGTTTGCCTTATTATTATTCCTCAAGTTATACAGCTGAGAAAATTTAAATCAACTTAAAATACTTGATTAAAACGCTAAAGTTCAAAATGGTGGATGCAGAGATGCCTTGCCCTAAAATCTGCTCCTACTGTTAGCCTCAGGCAACCGCTAATCGACTTTTCCACATCACTGAACCTTTATACATAAAACTATAGATTTACCTGTCTGGGCGTTTCCTGTAAATTGAGTATGTGGACTTTTGTGACTGGCTTCTTTCACATAGCATGGCATTTCCAAGGTCCTTGTGTCTTGTCCCATGTCTGAGTACATTATTATCTTTTGGAAATTTTACTGTATTTTAGTTAGTATGTGTGTATGTGTGTGTGTGTGTGTGTGGTGTGCATCAATGTGTACCCGTGTGTGTACACACACACACACATGTGCGCACACACACACACACACACACACCCCTGGATCTGCCACACAGCACCATGTATGGAGGTCAGAGAACAAATTTCAGCACCCAGTTCTCCCCTTCCTTGTTTTCAAGGCAGAATCTCTCGTGTCATTTCTTCTGGGTCGTGTGCTCCAGGCTAGCTGGCATGTGAACTTGCAGGGCATTCTTCTGTCCCCACATCTCTCTCACTCACTGTGGCAGTGCCGGGATTACAGATGACGAGGCTGCTGCAGATGGCTTTACATGGCTTCAGGTCTCAGGCTTGCTTACCTGCTGAGCCGTGTCTCCTGCCCTTGACTCGTTCTCCTAATGGCCAGATCACAGTCTGCCAGGCAGGTGTGTTGCACTTTGTCTACACATTCAGAATAACTGGAGACTGGAGGTGTTTTCATCTTTCCTCATGTTATGAATAATGGTGCTGTAGTGTAAGAAGTTTTCATGTAATGAGATATTTTCAGTTTCCCTACTGTTGGGTTGTATGGGAATTGTAAATTGAATTTGTTAGAAAACTGCCAACCTGTTCTCCAATGTGGCCGTGTGTTCTATGTTGCCAGAAGCACATATTCTTCTGTGTTAGGCAGACTGGGTCGCTTTGGGGCTTTTTCTGTAGCCACTGAAGGCATTCTGCTGGATTCTTGAGCCTAGAACTGCAGGGTAAAGAGAGAGAATGGACTGAATGCTAATCCCTGAGAGATCTTGTGCTGGGTACCTTTCTCACTGCTGTATGAAATCCCTGATGGGAGGAGATTCTCGGAAGGACTTGTTTGGGCTCTTGGTTTTAAAGGGTTTCAGCCCATTGTGGTGGACAGTGTGGGAGCAGAAGCTCAGGGTGTATGGTCACACTGCCACCACAGTTGGGAGCAGAGTGACAGAAGGCCAGCTGCCACTCGCTTCCTCCTGCTCCTTCCTGCTCAGTCTGGAACCCTAGGCTGCAGTACAGGCCCCCACAGCCCCCTCAGCTGAACCTCCTTGGGAAACAATGAATAGTCCCTCTCCCGTGCAAGCTCTTACCCTCTGATGAGGTTTTGGTGTCCTTAGCACTCCAGAAATGTCAGTTTCTTGCAGGGGAAGATAATTTCCTACGGTTTTCTAGTTTTTGTTATTCTGTTTCTGAGAAGTGTCTAAAAAAACAAGCTGTGCCTCAGCCTTCATGGAAATGCATATTAATCAAAATCACCGAAGTAAAAAATGGCTAAGTGAATAAACTCAGCATTAAATGACCAAAAAGTTAGAAGCAATTTATCCACTGTAAACTTAATATATACATATATATTAAAGTAACGAATATTATTGTCTTCAGGTAGAAGATTACTTTTTCCCCATCAATATAACATCATTTTTTTTTATCCCAAATCAAGGAAGACTGTAGTTTTAACTGTGGTGGCCTACTTAACATTATGTGACTAAATGTGTTTGTCTATCCAATTTTCTCAAAACTCTCCCCACACTCACCATCATAACCTATTACCACGTTAGTCAGGTCACTTCTCTCACCACGTGACTGGAACACTGGACAGAAACAACTTAAGAAGGGAGAGGCTCCAGGGTTTGACTCACAGTTCAAAGGGGTCCCTCATGGTTGGACAGTGTGGCTGCTGGGAGAACTCCATCAATCATAAGGTGATGGAGGGAGGCAGCTTCTTCAGTTTTAGTAATCAGTGAACTGGCTCAGAAGTGATCTGGGCTATAAGTGCCAAAGGCTAACTCCTGGTGACCTGTATCTGCCAGCTAGGCCACATGTCCCAAGGTTCCATAATCTCCTAAAAAAGAAACACCAAGGAACCAAATGTTCAAAGGAACCTGCTGAGGACATATAGATCCAAACAATGACATAGCATTCGTGGACCCGAAGGACATACATAGTCTAAAACTCAGAATCCCCATGTCATTAACTGTCATCACATTGAAAGTAATTCACTGCCAATAGTCACTGGCACAGAGTAAACATTCCCATTTAAACAGGAGGACTGGGAGGCAAGCAAACACAAACCAAACCAAAGCAACACAAAACTGAAGAGGGACAGCACTAAAACTGGTAGCTTTATGTCCAGAATCTCCAGCTTATGGTGAAATCTCCTGCCTTCTAACAGACTTGAGTTCCCTGACCCTGTAGCCTTGGTGCCAGCAGCACAGCACATGTAGGGTTTTGGTACAGTTGACTAATCCTGATGCCTGTAACATTGGTAGACATTCTTGGTATGGTCAGCATCCTGGAGTCTCTGCTGCAACTCATAGCTCCATTGACAAGGTCCCACAGGGCTTCAGAACGCTGCCACATGTCCATATAGGAGGTCCCTCAGAGCCTCAATGCAGGGATCTGAGCCCTGCTATATGTTGTATGGCATCACTGGATTCTTTCCTGTATCCTTGATACAAGCCTTCATGCATCAGAACTCTTACATCATAAATACCTGTGAGAAGGACACTATGTGAACAACGAATTTTGCTGTCAACTCGAGATATACCCTTGCCTCCTTGGATGCAGGTACATTGCAGTGACCTCTGAGAATTTATGCAGCTTAGGAAAACCTGTATGATCAAGTTCAAGCAGAGTGCACCAGAGAACCAATCCTACTTCAAGCATTCTCCTTTCAAATTAATTTGCATTTTTATGTCCTAGAGACTTCAGTGGGGAAGCTATGTCAATTCCCTCACCCCAAGGATCAGGGAGCATCATGGAGGAGCCATCAGACAGAATGTAAGAACCAGAAGAGGGGGACTGGTGTGTGAAATGCGGTCTTCTGGACAGGCCATGGCTGTTGCACTCATCATCTCATAGCAGCTGTGCTACCTGTGCAAGACCTGGACAAGGTCAAGCCAGTCCAAATCCCAGCATGGATGAATGGAGGGGGGCCTTATGAGGCCTTACTTGACTGAGGAGCTAGTGACAGCTCTTGGTGCCTAAGGACAGGGCCCTGATAAGTTCTCCATGCCCTGGTATATGGTTCTCAAATAATAAAATTTTTAAAAAGAAAATGTGTTAGTCTCTTTTGACTCTACATTTGCATGCCGTGTGTCCAGATTGCTCTTATTCCCACTTCCTTAATTCTCATGCACAGCGTCTCCTTTTGTCACTGAGGGGTTCAGTGTCTTACTTAGGACATCATATTCAGGCAGTCTTTGGATTTTAAATCTTGTGCGATACATTTCACTAAAGTATTTTGTGAAAAAATGTGACATGTGACTCTATTTTCAACATGGTTGCATGTGATACGTGTGACACAGACGTAGATGAGATACAGTTACTCCTATTTTCTTCTGGTGATACTAATTGACTTTCTTATCTTCATTTCCATTGTTTGTTCTTCTAATTGCCTATAGACTAAACAAAGAAATTAGAAAATGTTTTAATTTTCTAATAATAATAATCCTTGAAATATTAGTATCTAAAATAATGAAATTTTTAAGAAATTTTAGAATCAGGGAGGGAAAGGGAATGAAATAGAATCAGGAAAAACAAACATGTGTTTAGTGATAAACACTCTGCTCAGTAAAAGAAAGCTTCAGTTAGTGTCAAAATATATCATGCTCTTTAGGAAGGTGCTGGGAACCGAACCTAGGCCTTGTACATGATAAACACCCTTCCTACTATTGCTGTTTTGCATAAGAAAGAATGTCAAGGTTGTGATCTCCACTAAACATTTTCCACAAACAACACACATGGGACTTATTTGGGAGTGCTCAGAAAGCTAAACAAGTAGACTGGCCTTCCTTAATCGTCTTCTGCACAGCCATAATCTAGGTCAATAGACTGCAAAGGTGTCAAGGCTCGGAAGAGATTGCAGTTCAAATCCCACAAGCCACCACCAGCAGCAGCTGTCAAGACTTGCTCCAGTGACTTGTGCCAACAGAGGAGGGAGGAGAATGTCTGGAAATGCAGTTCTTAATTGGTCTAAATAAGAAAATTCCAACTCGGATATAGAGGGAAATGCTGAGAGATCAGAGAGAAGAAGGAGCAAACCAAAGCCACCTTTACCTCATTACCTTCCCAGGGGAAAAGAATGTGAGCTCCTGTTTCTTCCTGTTTACGTTCTCTCTCTACCTAGCCATCTCACTTCCTGTCTCTGCCCAGCCACCTCACTTCCTGTCTCTGCCCAGCCACCTCACTTCCTGTCTTTGCCCAGTCACCTCACTTCCTGTTTCTGCTCAGCCATCTCACTTCCTGTCTGTCTGTACAGACCTTCTGACCTCTATGATTAGCTAATGTCTCCATCCTCTGATCTTCAGATAGGCTTCATTTCTACAAGCAAGATATCACCACAAAAGGCCACAATCTTACTGGAACCCACAATATTGCTTTCTGGTGTGCATGGAGATCATTGATGGTCATTACGAAGGTTTGTTATGTCCTTTGTCATGTCAATGATCTTATAAAGATTATACATGTATAAGCTTGGGAGAACCTGGGCATCACAGAGAGTCTGTCTTTTTAAAACCCAGTGCTCTTTTTTCCTTCTTTGCTTGAAGTCATAAGCCTTTGAGGCTAAGATGAAGTGTGCAGGCCATCCAGGTGAAGACTCAGTCATTTCTTAGTCAGGTGGGAGTCATGATTCCCACTTTTTGCGTTCATCGTAGGTCTGGGCAAGGAAGAGCCCCAAACAGAATGAAAAGAAATGCATGATGGCATGGAGAAAATGTTCATAATGTATTTAAAGTGAAAATGTACACACATGTATACATGGCATGACACTCTGTTTGGGGTAAGGGGGTAAAGAATGTGTGTGTGTGTTACCTACAAGACAGCTGAGGGTCAGCTGGCCTCGAGTATCTCTAGATGGGGCAGTTTGCAGGACATTTTCTCTTTTAGTTTTCATAAATTTAAATTTAAAAACAAATATGCATAATTTTGGTAGCCAGAACAGAACCAGTCCTCTCAGGAAGGAGTGCAAGCATCCCTAGACAGTTGGACAGTCATCCTAGGTCACAGAGGCAAGAGCCTTAGAACCCTACAAGTTCCAAAGGGCAGGATGTGGATGGTGTTCCAGCATTGAACTGAATTATGGTGATGGGAGGCTGGAAGGACATGCCTGCATCTGTGAGCCAGAATCGGGGTGATAAGGCAATCAACCAGACTGGGATGGCTCCAGAGTCTCCCTCTGCTGGAGAAGGTCAGCTCCTTCCCCACCTCCCAGTACTCGGAATGTCCAAGTACTTGGGGAATACTGAACCAGAAGCCTTGTGTGAGCTTCTCTGGAGACTCAGAATGAGGCCTGCGGAGGAAGGCTTTCAGGAAAAACTTGTTTCCCATCATGGACTCTCATGTCTGCCTGCCTTGACTGAGTAGCTGCTACCTGGACCTGGCCCAGAGCAGGAACAAAGGCACAAAGCTGTGAGTGGACTGCCGGATGAATGGGTTAATGGCCTTCACTGAGGAGTGCCTGCTGCTTTGAGAGGTCTGCCTCCAATATAGGAATTCCAGCATTCAGTGTTGTTGCTGATATTGCTACACTCTTTGCCCTCCACGGGGAAGCCTTGTGGTTTCCATTTTGGAGTGCAACACTGGGAAGGCAGGAGGTTGAATTACTTGATAGAGGAGGATTCAGTCTGGGCCTGTTTGACTTTCTGACCCATGCCCTTACCAGGCCACTGTCTCCTTTTCTGTGCCGTGAGCCCAGTCCACTGTTATAGGGGAAGGGAAAATCTGGAGCTGGGTATGCTCTTAAAATAAGCTCGGCATGGGCAGTTGTTGTCAACCCCACACACAGCTTGCCTCAAAACAGTTTATTCTGGTGAAATATGTGAGTAACCATGGACAGGAAACATGGATTCAAGCTGCCCTAATACTATGGTTCAATGTGGGAACAGTTTTATGAAATTTTTATAGTGACAGAACAAAGGAAGTCACAAATTAAGACATTTATAAGTTATTTTATCTTATTTATAATTATGTGTGTATGGTGAGGGAAAAGGGTATGTGCGTGTAAGTGCAGATGTCCTTAGAGGCCAGCGGCATCAGATGCCCCATGGAGATGCAGGTACTGATGTATAGGTTCTGGGAATCAACTGTGGTCCTCTGGAAGAACAGTGTGCATTGTTGGTGACTGACCATCTCCAGTGTCTCAAGGCTCTTATTTAAGAGAACTTGGTGGGAGTACCAAGTAGGCAGATGTCCTGCTTGGTGTATTCTGCCAACTTGACACAAGCTTGACACAAGCTTCTATGGGAAGAGGAAATGCCCATCAAATTGGTCTGTAGGCAAGTATAGGGAGGGTTCAGCTCACTGAAGGTAGTGCCACTCTTGAGTAAGAAAGCAGGCCGAGCAAGCCATGAGGAGCAACCCAGTAAGCAACACTCCCTAATGGCCTCTCACCAGCTCCTCCCTCCAGGCTCTTATCTTGAGTTCCTGCCCTGGCTTCCTTTGATGAGGGGCTGTGGCTTAGAACTATGTGAAAGAATAAACCCTTCCTCCCCCAGTTGCTTTTTGTCAGAATGCTTTGTCACAGCATTAGAAACCTTAAGGAAGACTGCAGGCTACAGTAAACTGAGGACATCTCAGTCTTAGGCCTCAGATGTATCTGATGACATTCTCAGCCTTTGGGTTGGGAGAAGCTAGTGGTTTCTTAAGAATACACTTGTGACAAAGAAACTTCCATGATGAGATTTTTAATGTTTTCCCTTTTTTCCCCTTAAATTTTGTTCTATTTGGGGATTGGGTATAGGGGCAGAGGGCAGATGCAAAGGGATGGGGAAATGAATGGGTCAAGATACAAGGTGTAAAAGACATGTAGAATAAACAAAAAGAAAAAGAATACGTTTTAAAGTTTTTGATAGTCAAAAGGATGTTAGGTCAGACGTAGGGGTAGACAGTGAGTGACTTTAGAAGTTACTAAAAATGGCCCAAGATAATCTGCCTCTGGTCTGCAGCATTCTAACACTCTTGGTCACAAAGTGCAGTCATTTAGCATTGTAGAATCTTTAACTCCGGTGAGGCTGCTCACACACACACACCCACACACACACACCCCACCCACACACACACCAACTTCAGTTCCCACTCTCTATGCATTATGGAAAGACGTGGCTGAATCATTTCCATCTACAAGTGTTTGGCAGTAGAACATTCTTTGTGATGGATAATTTTGCTTATTTACTATGTTGATTCTCTACAACTCATGGAAATAGAAGTTGCCTATTTGCCTATTACCTAATAGTGAGACGGACCTTGGGAGGCAACCGGCTTTGGAGACAGGTTTAGGTAGAGGAGTTTAAGGATGCAAGCCTTTGGAAGCTGAGCTCTACTGGTGGTGTCCCGACCTTCAAAAGAAGTTTCCCTTCCACATTTCACCTCCCGTCTCACACCCCAACCCATCTTTCTTCTATGGACTAACTAATGCCAGTCACACAGAGAACCCCAAAAAACTCCCGTGGGTTCTGTTAAGAACAGCCATGATGTAGTTTCTGTCTAGTGAACTAAAAGATTTGTGTGTAAGTAAACAACACAACTTTGACTATAAAAGGTTTGTGGTGGGGATGAGGGGCCATGGTTGGAGGGCAGAAGTGGGGGGATTAAAGGAAATTTTGAGTAGAGGATTTCTCCTCAAAAAAATTACACTGTTTTGACTGATGTTGACCCCAGTGTTGTGAGCACCTACCATGAGAGCATGTAGCCACACCCTCTATGCTCTCCCTTCCCTCTGTACTCAGCATTGGCTTGAGGCCATATCAATCCACCGCCCTTGCTGCTGCACCATGATCAGTGAACACTGACTCACCGAGCCAAAGAAAGGGCGCTGCTGCCAGGTGACTGAGAAAACACCTTCCTCAACTTTGCCCTTTCCAGAGAAACTTGCCTTTCTGGTGGTAATTGATGTAGATAATTTGTGTGGTTCCTTTTTCATTTATCCTTCACTCCCTCCCTTTCCTCGTTTCTCCTTATTTCTTTCTTCTATGTGCATGGCATGCGCTAGTGTGTGTGTGTGTGTGTGTGTATGCATTTGCACATGTATGTGTGTTCACAAGGCAAGGCACATGTATGTGTGCAAGGCAGCTCATAGTCAAATTTTGAATATCTTTCTAAGAGCATGATCAGGGGATGCCCATCCTACCTCTTTTTCACCTGATTTCTATACCTGCCTCCTTAGCCCCCACCCCCATGTATCTGCTTCTAAAAGCCTTGCATTGCTTACATCTTTGCCAGATGTCTTTCCATTATTCTGCAACATGTGTGAGTACTTGTCTATGGCGTACAAGCTTCCCTGTCTTCTCCGTAAGCACTGCTTTGGGCTGCCACAGGCAGGGGACCTCAACAAGCTTGTTTACATTATGGGATCCTGCTGAATACAGGTTGATGGGAACCGAAGAACATCCCTGAGCCAGCCTCAGCCACACAGGTTATTACATCTGGGCCTGACAAATGCCATGAACTACTAGGCACAGTACTTGACTGTGTAAATACCTATAGCATGACTTAAGAACAGCTGTCCCACTTAAAAATATGCAGCTTTGTGCTAATCAAGGATTATGAAATTATGTACCCCAAATGCCCAATTAATTCTGCCAAATAGATCCACAGTTGGATTTACTTGGTACCATTCTTATAGTGGGGATTATGAGAGCTGACCCCCAACTTCTCCACCTCTCACTGCAAAGTTTTACACAGGAAGTATGTGAAACCAACATGTAATGTTCACTCGGGTTTCAACAAGCTGCATGAAGACAGAATTTTTCAGCTTGCAATCGACATGGTAGTTGTGCATGCTTGTTGAGTAAAAGGTCATAGATAACATGGTCTGTGTATAGAGTAGGCAATGATCCAGTCAAGCTGATCAGGCTTATCTGCTGAACATCTGCTTCTGTATTTGGACTTTTGAACTCCCATTTTCTAGTTTTATATAAAATATGAGGGCTGATGATGTAGTTCATGGGTCTCTTGACACCAAGTCTAACGGGTTGATCTCAGGGCCTGGAAGCCCCTGGTGAAGGGAGAAAACTGATTCCTGAAAATTGTCCCATAACCCTGACACAGGAGTGCCTCTGCGTGTTTGCAACGCTCTCCCCCTCCACACTCTGCATAAAATCAGAGTTAAAACATAAAACACGTAGAGTCCTTTGCAGTTGACTAGAGTCTCCCTGCTGGAGGATGGAAGTCTAGAACACGTCACCCCTCTAACTGTAGCTTGGTGACCCTCGTCTGATCCCCTCTGTCTCCTCTCCCTCACAGTCCACAGCTGTGCTTTCTGTGCATGTCGTGTCCCCATGCCATCCACATTGCTGAAGATGACAACATTTCATCCTTCACAATGATACTCCACTGTGTGTACAGATCCTATCTCCTGTATCCGTTCATCTGACGGTCTCCATATCTCAGCTGTTGTGAGGAGTGCTGTGGGCATACTGT